GTGTGTGTGTGTGTGTGTGTGTGTGTGTGTGTGTGTGTGTAGAGAGGGAGAGAGAGCGCAGCCTTTATTGTTACAATGAAGAATAAAGAACGGGTATTGTTAAAATAGTGCATTAGTAAATTTCACTGGTAATTTTGACGAGGCACTAAGGGGAATTGAAAATCATTGTTCAGCTATGATAACTTAGAAATATTTGTAGTCTTTCGTGGTGCATTGGCAGCAAATTCTTCACAGTGAAATGTAAAAACAAGAACAGAGTTCTGGTCATCTTTCATGAAGATCCATATTCATAAAACCACTAAAGCCATGTAAAGATATACGGAGTTAACCAACCGCATTGCTATATATGCATCTGAACTACATCACTAGCTTTCCACTTCATCTTGGTTTTGCAGGTCTCTTACGTGCAAAGACAACAAAAGGTAATTTCATGCGTTCATTTGAGGAATTTGATTGACTCCATAATGCTCATAAGGTTAGAGAGTTTACGGTCCTTCATCATCATCATGGTTAAGGTTTCTTTCAATGTCAGTAAGTGATGTCACTATAACAGACTCTGTAAATCTCTTGTGGAGGCTTTCATTTCTATAAATTAAAACCCATTAAAAAAAAATCCCCTCCTTACCGTGACCGGAGCGCATGCCAGGCAGCATCTACGTCTGCGTACAGGTTCTTCTCCGAGGGTTTCCCAGAACTGGCCCCGTAACCAGAGTAGTCATAGGAGAAGACGTTGCAGTTGATCCGTGAGCCCAGGCCGATGTAGAAGCTGCTCATCTGGCCCAAGTCCACTGCGTTCCCGTGAGAGAACAGAAGAGTGTAGCGGGCGTTGGGTGAGCAGCGGACAAACATGCAGGCGATGCGACTCCCTCTGGAGGTGCGCGCCATGAAGCACTCGATGGCGTCCTTTTCCCGTGGCGAGTACTGCCAGTCGGCCCGCTCAGACAGGTGCAGGGTCCATCGGCCGCCGCTCTCGTCACACATGAGGCTGTAGGTGGGCTCTGGCGGCAGGAAGGCCAGCTTGGAGGCGATCTTGCTGGGGCACGGCGGACAGCAGAACAGGCAACACAGCTCACTGAAGGATAAGTGGTTCATCCTTAAGACACTGTGACAGGGAGAGGGACAGTGAATAAAATGTAGAACGGCATCTGTTTAATTAGAGATTACATTTAAACTGAACCAAGACTGATGAAACAGGTGTGGTCCACAATGAACAGGAGCTTTCTCAAACTGAAACATTTGTGTTTCACCTGCAGTCGAATGACCAAAAAGCACCAACTGACTAGGAACCAATCTCATTTGATAAGAAGACAAATCTTTATCGGCCTCTCTTTTAATTTAGGACACGCTGGAATGATGCCCAACTGTTCATTTCACTGTTGCCTCTACAAGTTTTGCTAGATCTGCAGAAAAGCATGCGACTTACTCCTGAGATGATGCACTTTGAAAATGCCTGGCAGCCATGCCATCTACAGCTAAACTACTAAAGAAAACAAAAAAAGTTTTATAAATGCATCTGACCTCTTAGAAACCCACCTTGGTTAAAACTTGTTTTTTTAATAATAAGAGCTCAGCTGTTTTTATTATTTGCAATCATATTATTTATTTTGCTGACTTACAAACAGATAAATGTGTTTGTACCCTTTCAGTAATGAAAGAAAAACCTGCAATGGTCACTGAAACTGATAAAAGACATTGATTTTGTATTTAATTCACACTTTTAGTTGAAGTTTGGGCCAAATTGGACTTAATGGAAAATGGAGTGTTGAAAAAAGAAAGCAAATCTTTAAAAAAAAAAAAAAGGCAGATGTGAATTTGCCAAAATGCAAACGGAGAAGCCACAAATCTTCTGAGAGAATGTTGTTTGGACAGAAGAGACAAAACTGGAGATTCTTGGCAGCAAGTTGTCATCAGCTCTTTGCTCACAGACCCAAAAATAAAAACACACAGGAACAAAACACTATTCTGAAGTGGTCTTCTGGGCCCTGATCTACATCATATTGAACATCTGTGGAAGGCGCTGAAACTGCAGTCTGGACCTGAGGAAGCTGGGGCAGTTGACTCATGAGGAAAGGATTAAATTACCTGCAGACAGGTGATGAAGTCTCAAACTTACAGAAATCACCTGCATGTTGGGTAAGTTGAATCATATTTCAAAAGTAATGAAAAAATGACTTTGCTTAGTTTATTTTCTGTGTTTTCTCTCATTACCTTTGCCAGTTTCAAGTTATTCCAGTCACCATTTTCCTTTTTTTTTAAATAAATTTATAATTTTCAATAATCTGTTAAAAGATACTCCTGAAACCCTTTCTTCTGGGATCCTTTAATTGGACGCATGTGGTCCAACTCTGCTTTAAAGGCTTGTTGAAGCAGCTCACATAAACCACTGGCTCGAACCAGAGATGATTAAAGCTGTTTAAAGCTACTTGAGATTATAAATGCCCTCTCACAGGATGCATGAGGCTATTTCAGCCTCTTGCTGAAGTGGCATCCCTGAGGATTCTGTCGCAGCAGCAATCCCAAAGTCCTCGAAATAAAAGACTGAGATTAACAAATACTAAAACAGAGAAATAATGCCAACGTTACCTGTACCGCGGCTGGTTGGTTGTTTGTTTATCCCTTTTATCAGGTGCAGCAGTCCGGTGTTATTTTCGCACCGCAGTGAATTTATTTTCTGTTCGAGGCCAGCAGATTGTCGGGACTATCCTGGGCGGCAGATTATCCCCTCGGTTCTATGCGCTCCTAGTATCCCGGTCCGAACCACAGCCTCCTCTTCAACAGTCGTTTCCTCCTTTCTTCCCCCTCGGTTTTCTCAGCAAATGGTCGTGAATGATAACTAGATCGATTCATTCACCAGGTTCCGCTCTATACAGCTCAACCGCGACATTAGTGTGTGCCAATGATTTTTTTTTTCCCCCGTGAAGACAGGTCGAAAATGGTTTGTCAAATACTTCTCAGCAGTATCCCTTGGTTTGGAAACATCTCCGCTTTCGTTGTGGATATTTCACGGAGGAGGAAGAGGCGTCGGCTGGCAGCTTTGAAGACCAATTGCGAAGAGTTTAACGATGCCACTCTACCATTTGTAGATTGTTTGGGTATAGCCGGGGAGGTTCTTCCTCGACGCCCCAGAGTTGCAGCCTGATGTTTTTATTGACGCCCTCTTCAGCCAATCAGAGAATACTATAGAAATGAACGGTCCAATCAGCGCTTTTAAAGGCGTCGCTCTGAACAGGTGACGCAATTGACGTTTGTTAAGCGAGTTTATTATTATTATTATTATTTTAATTGTTTAATATGTTTTCAATCCTAGTCTAATGAATTTTTGCTTCACTTGAAAAACTATTAAAATCTGTTGGCTGTGTTTTTGTTTTATTACATCAATGACGCATCATGACGTACCCGAATCATTTCCGGGTTAGCCTTGTTTCTCACGTTGCTTGCGTGATTGTTGGATTTGTACACCTTAAAACGTCTAAAACATGAAAATAAGATGAGTTCTCAGAAAGGAAATGTATCCCGATCACGAGGACAGAAGCATCAAAATGCAGTTGCCTTTAAAAACGACAAACACGGAGCTAGTGTTCAAGTGAAAGTATGGGATGTGTTTTTGCTAATCATGTGTATTCAGTTCGTGACTGTGCGTGAACTTCTATTTTACCCTGTTTCCACCTCACTGAGGCAGCAAAAATTAACTTTCCTGTTTTTAAGTTACTGTCAGTTCCAGCTAGTAATCATGCATTTGCGTAAATTATTATTATTTGTTTGTTTCGTCAGTTCATTTTTTTTGTGACTAATATGAAATCTTGTTTTGTTCTAACCACAGAAAGCTACTTCTAAGGTCCACGATGGGCTTTGTCAACACTGTAAGGGAGTTCTTGAGTGGAAAGTCAAGTATAACAAATACAAATCTTTATCACAACCTAAAAAATGGTGAGTACAACTTACTTACAGGATAATCATGTTTAGAGGGCTTTTTAAAATGAGGTAATTACTTTTCACAATACCTGATATTAAAGTTGATGAATAAAAACATATGACCCAGTGTGTCTATCTATTTATCAGCAACTTTAAAGTAAGTGTGTCCAAATGTCTTGTAGTTGTGGTTGGTAACTTTCTCAGTATGTTATTTTTCAGAAATAATGACACGTTTTCCTTCTACAGTGTGAAGTGCTCTCAAAAGACAGTAAAAGATGCGTATCACATCATCTGTAAGCCCTGTTCGCTTCAGCTAGAGCTCTGCAGCAAGTGTGGGAAGAAAGAAGACATTGTTGTTCCGTAAGTAGATAATTTCATCTGAGTTTTGCGCTGAATTTTCTTCATACTGTTACAGAACATATCTTGATTTAACTATGTTAATTGTATTGAACCACAGAGTCATTTAGTCCTATTTTGTACATGCTTTAAATTAGATAAAGATGCCATTGTTTTACAGTGAAAAAAACAGTTTCAGGATATTCTACCTAAATGCTGCCCTCCTGTGGACAAAAAGACACATTACAAGTGATTTGATAAATCATGATAGATTCGTTTTTTAGCAACTTTTTCGGATTTATTTATTTATTTATTTATTTATTTATTTATTTATTTATTTATTTATTTATTTATTTTATATACAGGGTTAGTTATTTTATTTCTTCAAACATATATTAAGTTGTTCTTGATTGCGTTCATGCAGCACTTAGCTCAAACTTCAAATTCCTTTCAAAACTACTAACACAAAGGTCTAAGCAGTGTCACACATGGTGAAAGTGATGCATTTTGTTGGTAAAAGGCTCTAACTGTGACAAAAAATATATATAAATATGAAACAAAAGGGAAAATTGCCTTCAAACAACACAAACTGCAACCAAGTGTATGAGCTTTTCCAAGCAATCGTTACATAATGGACAACAAACGTAAGGTTATGAATATAACCACGGTTCCTTGAAGGAATTGAACGAAGTACAACACACAGTTGTATATGGGACACGCGCGCCCTCGTGCGCCTGGCAGAAGCCACCTCTAATCACTTCTTTAGAACGGTGACGTTGAACGTCGGGTGACAGGCTCCACCTTCACCCTATAAGTTCGGAGTCACCAGCATCATTACTCAGTTAGATACCGCCCTTCACTGAGCCTTTGTGATGCGGGGCCAACAAGGTGTTGTGCTTCGTTCCTTCGTTAGGAGGACTTTGATTTCTTCTTCCGAACCGCTGAACTGTCCTGCTGACTCGGAGGGGGGCCTTTGCTCCATGCCGATTGACGGGGAGGCTGTGGCTTGCTGGAAGTAGGGCTGGGCGGTATACCGTTTTGCACCGAATACCGGTTTTTATTTTTGTTATGATATGAATTTTCTGAATACCGGACATACCGGTTTAAATAGCGGAACGTTTCGTCGCGGCCGCCAGTGAACTGTTGTTTCCCGGGGGACATTTTTCCTTGCTGCACTGCTATGTGTGTTAGCATGCTAATGTTTGGAGCAGCTAGTTGCAGCCGCGGATGGCGATTCCGTTGCTTATATTGAATGACATTTAAAAAAACATCCCATTTTTGCCGTCGCTGAATGTAGTAAACAACTCTTCAGTGACGTGCACAGTTAGATTTAACACGGTTAGTTAATATGGAGACGTTATGCTGATGGAGACTTAACGTGGTTCTATTGTGAAAAGACTGCAGGAAGTGGTTCGTAGTGAAGTTAGAATTGACTGGTGTGCAAGGTGAGTCGTGCTGATAAGCTTTAATAAATAACAAAACAATAAACCCGATCATAATATTTTCTTAACCCTCCTCCTTCACGACTGGACCAAAATGCATGACTACTGTCTCCAACCACCAGTCAGAGAAGAACAGACACAGAGGAGGGAAACAGAGACACAGACAGAGGTACAGTAAAAGAAAAAAACTCAATAAGCAGGGTTTGTATATTTTATTATCAGCTGACCTGTGATGAAAAGAAAAATACCGTCAAATACCGTGAAACCGGTGAAAATGTTGAAAATACCGTGATTGATCATATCGCCCAGCTCTAGCTGGGAGGTTCGGCGGGCTGGGCCTTTGAAGTCCCGGGCATCGCCGCCTTCTTGAACGGAGGAGGATGAGACGCAGACCTGGATGTGCTCGGGGCCTTGGGCCTCGCGTCGCGTCTGGGGATGATGCAGCGAAGTGCCTCAGCCTGCTTCTTCCTCTGTTCAAATTTGCTTTGGATGACGTCAAGCGCTTGACTAAACAGTCCTGTAGGTGTTATCGGTTCATCCAAGTAGGCCACTCTGTCCTTGTCGGGAACGTCTGAGAGCGTTAGCCACAGGTGCCTCTGCGCCACCACAGTAGAAGCCATTCCTTTCCCCAGAGCCAGCGCTGCACAGCGGGACACGCAGGATGTGGTCTGACGCCAGTCTGATCTCGTTCAGCAGGGGGTAAAAGGAGGTTTTCCTGCGGCATCTGAGCTGCCAGTTCAGCCAAGGCCATGGCCTGGTAGGTCTGAAGCATGGTGACGGAGCTCAGCACACGGGCGGTGTTACCTTGGGCTTTGTAGATTTTCTCCAGCTGTGCTGAAGAGAATCTGCAGGGCTTGGAAGGGAGCAGAGTGGGCCCGCTCACACCCTGGTTGTGAAATGGAGCCAAATAAGCGGCTAAAGAAGGCTCCATCGGAGGGATGCCCACCAGGCCTGCTTGACCTGCCCCTTCCACGTCCAAGTACTGACCCTGTTCGGGCACGAAGGCGCGGATGGACAGCGGTTTGCTCCAGGAAGACGTCAGCTCCGACACAAAGTCCGGAAACATAGGCAGACGGTGCTTCACATCAGCCGGTTCAGAGGGGAGATAAAACCCTGCAGACCTCGACGGCTTTTGAGCAGGTGGGGGGTCGGGCCACTGTACCTCCAGTTTAGCAGCAGCTCAGCGGCACAGGGACAAGAAGGACGAATCCTGGTCCACCCTCTCAGCAGCGGGGGTGGAGTGAGCTGGTCACGGCTCCTCGTCATCTTTGGACAGACTGAGAACCTCCTGCTCCATCTGCAGAACATCGTCCTCCTCTTGGTTTAGATCCAGTAGAAACTGGGTCTCGCCCCCCTCGATGTCGGGTGAGGCCGCCTCGTGCTCCATCTGGTCCGCCCAGCTAGCAGCGGGGGCTTCGACCGCCGAATCCTCGTCTTCGTCGGACTGAGACGTCTGGCTGGATTCGGAGAGCAGCGGGTCTTGTCGGAAAACAGCAGTTTCCCCCAGCATTTTCTCCAGGAATTTCACTCTCCTCTCCAGTGTCGGACGCGAAAGTCCGGCACAGGCCCGGCAGGACTCGGGCTCCACAAGCGCCCGTCGAGCGTGAATGATTCCTAGGCAGGCCGGGCAGGCCTCATGCTGGTTCTTCTCATGAAGCTTAAAGCCGCACCCCTGAGGACAGGGGCAAACAGAAGACTTCGGCTTCTTCGAAGGTGGTTTTGTGCTCATCGTGAACCACAAAACAGATTTTCAGCAGAAAATAAAGGTCACTTAAGTAGCGTTGAGCGGCAGACACAAACCATCAGATAATGCGGTTAGCACCAGTGAAGCTAGCCAAAGAACCTTAGAAGCTGAGCTAACTAGCAGCAGCTATGTGAGCTCAGGTTTAGAGGTGACTATCGCGAGGTGAAGGGCGATAGAACTGAGCAATGATGCTGGTGACTCCGAACTTATAGGGTGAAGGCGGAGCCTGTCACCCGACGTTCAACGTCACCACGTCACCGGTCTAAAGACGTGATTAGAGGTGGCTTCAGCCAGGCGCGCGAGGGCGCACGTGTCCCATATACAACTGTGTGTTGTACTGAGTGAAATGACTGAAAAGGAACTACAGCACAGGTGTCAGTTCATTTTTGTTTTTGAAAGTGGGGGCCACTAGGGGGCACTAAGTGGTCTCAGAAAGCTGAGGGAAAGATGAGGGGAGAAGAAAGCAAAAATACAATAAATAATCCAACAAATATTTTAAATCATCATAAAATCAACTCTTGTTTTTCCAAACATTATATTTAAATTGTATTTGTGGCCCTGTGATGGACTTGCGACCTGTCCAGGGTGTACCCCGTCCCTCGCACTGTGACTGCTGGATTTGGGCACCAGTGACCCACATGACCCTGAAAGGCAGAAGCTTGTACAGAAAATGGATGGATGGATAAAATTTTAATGTTATTTAATAGAGGTTTGATTTCTTCATATTAAAAGGGAGTTTTTCTTTCTTCTGCTGCTCAGGATGGGAGACTGTGATGAAGTGAAGATTAAGCACAATCTGCTGGCTTCCTTAGATTGACTGTTTCATTTTTTATTTTTTATTTTTGTCCGGAGACCTTATTTGATATTTGTTGTGGCTTGGCACTATATACCATAAACTGAAATGAATTTATTTCTTCTGTTCTTATCGTCAACAGTTGTTGAAACCTTTTTTTCTTCTTCTTCTTGCAGGATAAAGTCATGCTTGGACAAGAGAGAGCAAGAGGAGGAAGAGGAAGACAAAAAGGAGCATAAACGAGAGAAGAAAAGCTTGGATGATTTGGACAGTGATGATGAAGACTTTGCTGGGTGTGACGATGAGGAAGATGACTTTGACAGAGACTCTGGGCCAAAATAGGCACAGAAATTTACCACACTTCCAGATGTCCGTTGTCAACGATTAGCTTTGTTTTAAACTTTGTTGTCAAAACAGAGAAGGTCATTTTATTGAGTCAGTTGATGGAGCAGAACTTTGAAGAGAAATAAAGTCCACATCAGGGCAAATCAAACATCAGGATGTATTTTTGTTGTTTTTTGTCTTTCAGTCCATTTCACCGTATCATGTCGTTATGGATAGTATACTTTAACTTTATTACCATCATGTTTTATTTAAATAAAAAGCAACAATAGTAAATATAGTGTTTTTACTGCAATTCACTGTTCTGAGCTCATCGCTCTCAAATAATATCAACCACAGAATATATATTTGTTTTGTCTCTGCAGGTTTTACATTAATGTTTCCTAAATGAAAATAAGTCTTTTTAAGGACTTTGATCAGAACACCTTCCTCACTGCCTGAGTCACAACTTTATTAGGATCTTGAAGAAGGCTGAAGTAACAAATGTCACCACCGGATTCAACTTCTTTTTGTCGACACTCGAAAATTTATAGAAGAATAATTTTTAATATATTTGTTCACTGTGTTTTCGTGCAGCCGGTGAGGATTGTAATCAGACATCTTTGAACAAAGTTCAATGTTTTATCTCTTTCCCCAAAGAGTTCAAGTTGTATAAATTATTTCGAGCATGCCATCATTTTTTTTTTCATTTGTCATGTGATTTTGCAAACAATGTGTTAACTTTATCACGTTTATTGTGACAAATGCAGGTATTAGTCATGGATCTCATGGGGTCGCTTTTCACTTATTACCCTGAAATGACTTCAGGTCACATTTTAATTCACTCATGACTGAAACAAAAAAAAAAGAAATGTATATTTTTATCAAATAAAAGCTGAGTAGACTGTTTAAATAAATAGATCAAATTTCAGCCTTAATTCTCATTGTTGGCCAAGTTGAGTGAATAATTAAGACATTTTATATAAAATAAAACTCAGCTAAAACTTTATTAACAAGCACTATGGAGCACTGCTGATTGTCCAGTTTGTTTTCTGTTCAAATGATATCAGACAAGAAGAAATGCCATCTAGAAAAATTCATGTAGTGGGAAAATTCAGACATTTCAGCAGCCGTTCCACATGGGGTGAGAAGAAGAATAAAAAGCGAGCATGAACATCAACAAGTTCATGAAAAAAAAAAACCTGAAGCATAACCAAAACAAAAACCAAAAGTATGAAAATGAACCTGATAAGGACTGTGTCATGCAAGGAAAAGGAACAAAGTACTCAGTGGGGATTTACTGTAAAAGGTTGTATGTTGGGAAAGGGAAAATGTTAAAGTGTCCTTTTCAACTCATTTAAATTTGTTGAGTTTGAGTTCTTTATTCATGGCTGTGTTCTTTAGCTAAGCTGGGAGTGGCAGGAAAAACACATAAATGACCCAAACAATCAGGAGGTTCAGAGAAAATGAGCCAAGTCCTCATCAGTCCAGTCCATGCTTGTTGCAGAATGTTGGTCTGTCCCTGATGGTTTTCTTGGAGACAGGTGTTCCCCTTCTTCAGCCCATCTTAATTCCTAACAGTGCAGAACTGGAGATTTTTGTGGGGATTAGATTTAGAGGGATTTTGCAATTAATTACAATTCATCTGATCACTCTTCATAACATTCTGGAGTAAATATCTGCCATCATTAAAAAAAAAAAAAAAACAAAGACAAGAATCTGTGATGAAAGTCATTCTCAAACACTTTATATTAAGAAAATGAAAAACAATTCAATGGACTTACAAATACTTTTAATAGAAAAGCATTCATTTGACTTCAAAATATGCCCAAATTAAAGACCTGTTGCATAAATCGCATTTCACCTGCCAGAGTTTTAAACTAAATTCTGCTGAGAAATGACTGAATTAAAATCACAGTCTCGTAAAAATGTGAGGGTTGTAAATGATTCTCTGCTACATATCAAATTATAGCTCAATTTCTGCAAAACCAAGACATATCTATTAATGCAACACATTCTCACTCCCGAGTCGTCACATATTGACGTTTTTCAAAGGTCCCTTTGCGTCCAATTTTGACGCATCAGGTACCCCCCTCGCGTCAGTCCTTGCCGCCCGCGGCTTTTCCGGGTTGCGCCACCAGGGGTCTTTGGGTCGGGGGTCTGAGGTTAACATTAGGCATCAGGATAAATGGTTAAGTTTAGGGACTGGGGTCAGGGATAGGATGTCTACAGTGAACATTAGGTAATTTTAGGCTTTGCAACACGTAGTTGCCATGAATTTCCTACATTTTCTAAAAATGGTTAATTTTACGTATCAGGGTTAATGGTTAATTTTAGGTACTAGGGTCTGGGACAGGATGTCTAAAGTGAATACACGTAATTTCACGCTTTGGGACGGTAGTATTTGTGCATTTTCTACACTTTCAGAAATTACGACAACAGATTCCGCCCCATCCCGTCAAAATATGACGCAAGGGGGGTACCTGATGCGTCAAAATTGGACGCAAAGGGACCTTTGAAAAACGTCAATATGTGACGACTCGGGAGTGAGAATGGGTTGATTAATTAGGGGTGCAACAATACATGTACCTGTATCGAACAGTATCAAACAGTGCTTTAGGTTCAATACACATTTGTATCGAACAATACAGATTTTTTAAATTTATTTTATTAACTTGTCTTCATATGCTCTGTGTTGAAGGATCAGATCTGGGTTCGACTACTCTATCTAGGCTGTATTTTTGAGTGCAGATCCTCTAAGAAACTTGCTGTTTCAGCAAAATTAAAGTTTAAATTTAATTTTAAATGGTATTTTTTTGATTAAACAAATGTTCTTAAATAATTTCAATAAATTACAAGTTTAAAAGGGGCATGGAAATTTCTTGTTATTTGTATCGAAAAAATATCGAACCGTGAGACTAAAGTATCGAACCGAACCGAATTGTGAATTTTCTGTATCGTTGCGCCCCTACTATTTATGTGTGTTTGTTTTTAACTCCAGTAAATTCCAGAAGTGAATCATTTCGTTGATCATTAATTTAAGCAAATTTGATTCAAATCCTTCCAGTGGATCAGGGATGGTTTGATAGCAGACAGAAGGCAGGAACTTCATTATCTGCTTTTCTAGGTACAAATAGGTCATCATAAAATCCATGAACTAAATGTTAAAGTTGATAATGTCAGTGAAAACTGTATTATTTGTAATAAATCAGGTGATGTGATGTTGGGGTTTCCCTCAACTCTCTGACCTGAAGTCAGTTTTCAGAAAGTCCATGATAAATACTGGTTTTCTAATTTTTGGCTCATTTTGCAAAACTGGACACGAAGTACTGGTGCACACGTGATCTGCTTATGATTCAGATTCAGGAGAATCACACGCGCGCACACACACACCCTGTCTTCTGATTGGCTGCTGCTTTCGCTGCGGTCAGGTGAAGGCGCGCGCCACCCGGTGGGCGGTGTGATCGGGGCATTAAAAGGCCGCATGTTTTTTTTTCTCTCTTCTTCTTTTTCTTCTTCTTCTTCTTCTTCTTCTTTGCGGCAGGTGGAATCTCACTGCAGATGTGTCGGGATATGGACTCTTCTGAAACATCCCGCACCTCAGTGGTGTTTGTCCACAGGGGGACATTTGTCCACTCGACCCCCGAAAATGCGCTCCAGGTCATGGAGGATGCGCTCGTGGGGGTGGACGACAGGGGGAAGGTTTGTCTCCTTTTATTCAACTTTTATTATAAATACCAAAAAAAATTCCTTTCAGACATTATTTGAGTCGCCTTTCAGTGTGGTTGAATTGGTGTGTCATATTACAGTGCTTTTATTTTCACAATAGGCACAAAATAGTTATTAATTAAAAAATGTATTTTTCAAATTTAAATTAGTTTTTTTAATGTTAAAATTTTTTTATTGTAAGCAACCTTTATATATTGTGCCAGTAATAAATTTAAGAGGCGCAGAGAACGAGACTTTCTAAGTAATTATTTTTTTTCTTTGAACTCATGAAACAGTCAAATCAAACTGATTCCTTGTGAGGTGGATTTAAGAAAGTAAACTCTGTTCTACAAGTTTCTGCAGGAAAACAAACTATCAGCAGAACTATTTACAGATTTGTTTTATGTGAAATGTATAGCAGAGAGAAAAATCTGTGTTCAAAACGTCTAAATGCTTGTCAGCCTTTGTCATGTTTCATCTGGAATCATTGACCAGTTCGGACGAGAATAAATAACCCTATCTTTTATTCGTTAAATAATTTACAGAGAAATGAGTTCAGTGAATTTTCTGTATCTTAACAGGAGGGATGGCTTGTGTCAAACTGAAACCTTCAAACTTAATCATTATAAGTGATGATGATGCTATAAAAGTGCTTCTGCTGCTCAGCATATGTCAGATGGACATTAAACTACACCTTAAAAAGAAATGAACCAGACACAGACATAAGTATTCAGTTTAAAACAGTTTTCTCTTTGCGAAGAGTGAGACGTTTCTGAGGAAGCTTAAGACAGGTCTCAGCAGAAAGTTCTGATCTTGGCCGGGGAAAGCTGAACAGTTTATTACAAACAGAGCACAGAGAGAAACGTCTTGACCAATCACAGGGTTGCTTCTTATCAGTTAGTGCAGCTCAAAGTTGCAGAGATGAAAATTATGGCAGCTTACAGGCCTGTTCTCAGCCGAGAACAAACAAAGCTTCATTCGTTCAAGAAAGACATATTTAATAAAACTGATTAATGCAATAGGATCAAATATAAAAAAATGATAAAGTTTAAAAACATCTATCAGAATATTTGCTCAGTATTTTATTCTCCTGCCTTCAGATTGCTTTTATCGGAGAAGGCAAGGAGCTCCAGAAGCTGTCTCAGGTTTTTGGTTTCAGTTCGTCCGAAGTGGCTCAGCTGGAAAGACAGTGAGTAAGCACTTGAACGGGTCCAGCAGGTTTATAGGTGGATCAGTTCTGAAAACAAATCAAAACTTTTATTCAAACCTCTTTATATGTTTGTGCAGTGAGTTCTTCATGCCGGGGCTGGTGGACACCCACATCCACGCTTCCCAGTACAGCTACGTTGGCACAGCCCTGGACATGCCTCTGCTGCAGTGGCTCAACACCTACACCTTTCCTGTGGAGGCCTGCTTCAAGGACTTAGAGTTTGCTCAGAAGGTTTACACCAAAGTGGTGGTGAGTAATGAACCTTTTGGAAAAGAGGATATGAAATTGTTGTCCACATTTGTAGTCTGTAAACTGTTTTGTGCGTGTGGAAAAGTGCATTTGTAATTTGTGGTGTCACGCCAAGAAGAAAGCAATTGTTTAAAAAAACAACAGAAAAGGTTTGAACAAGGTGTTGATTCTGTAATAAATTTGGTTTGCAGAGAAGAACCCTGAGAAACGGGACGACCACTGCGTGCTACTTCGCCACCATCCACACTGATGCTTCGCTTCTGCTGGGCCAAATTGCAAGTAAGACTCAAACTTAAACTAAATCTGTCATTCAGGGCCTTCATCACTGCTTTCTATCAGTTACAAACTGAAGATGGAAACAAAATGATGGCTATTTACAAGCTTATTAATATAATTTGGTGGTCAACTTGATGCAAACATAATTTTTTCTCTAACTGAGCATCAATGCAACACTTCCTGTCACCTTCAATTTCCAAATATCTGTGAATTTTGCGTTTTGTAACTTCACAGACCTTCATGGGGGGGATGCCACACACAGCATCAAATTCAACCTCCATCTCTGTTAGCGTGTCTTGCCTGCCATCTGTTACAGTAGCAGAGCAGCAGATGGAAATGTGACCACCGTCCTCACATGCTTTGTCTGACAGTGCCGAGGAAGGGAAAACATCTGATTCGTTGCAGACGTTCCAACGTCTCGCTCTCCAGCAGAGCCGTCCTTTACCTTTATGCCTCGTCCTTATCGTCTCGCTGTCACGTTGCGTAACGTTGAACATGTGCTCACATAAATGTGTAACGACGCAAACAAGCCGAATCAAACACCGGGTTTGGCAGCTTTACGCCATCATTTTATATAACCGGGGTCAGTCATTGGACCCTCAACTTTGTACTGTTCTGACCTGAGAACTGTTAGACGTCAGCATGTGTTTGAGCTTCACTATCTTACTAACACTTTAGAGGGGTTTTCTGTTTCTTAGCTTAAGATATAATTTTGCATAAAGAACACAGAATACTAAATAGAAGGAAGTATATTCAAATGTTAATTTAATTCCTGTCGTGTTTACAGATGACTTTGGGCAGCGTGCGTTAGTGGGGAAGGTGTGCATGGACAGGAACAGCTCTGTCAAACATTACAAAGAAACCTGTCAGGAGTCTGAGGATGAGGCGCACCGGTGGGTATCAGCTGTTTTAACGTGCACCCAGAAAAAAAGACAATATAATCTAAAAACGTGTTGGTTTTTCTGACAAGAAAAAAAAACAAAGAACAACTTTATTAGTGTTTTTTAAGGCAATGCAAGTGTTTTAACCAAATGGTGCTCATAAGCTGTATGTGTTTGTTGTTAACTTTTCATTCAGACAAATTTTCTCTTTCCAGTCTAAAAAATGACTAAAGCCAAGACTTACTCCTTTTTTTTCAGACATTTAACCCCTCACCCTAAAGACTTCCTCAGTTCTGATTTTAGATTTTTATAGGTTTAAAAGTCACCGTTTATGTGAACAAAGCTTGTGGTTTTGGGTGCAACTCATGCCTGATCTGTACTTTTTTATGTTTGCTATCCTTGGGTGCATGCATACTCTTTAGTTTCCTTCAACACATTCAGTTTAATTGTTGTGTTGTTTCTTATGTGTCGTCCTGGGAAAGGTGGGGTAAACTGCAGGCTCCATCTTTTAGTTGAGCGAGATAAAAGAAAACAGAATTGGGAAGTTTGCTTCAGGAAGCAGCAGATGAAATCAGTGCCACAGATGATGTAGTTTGCAGTTTCTCAGAGAGTTCAGTGTTGTTTTTTTTCTCAATAAGGAACATTAAGGTCTCATATCTCATAATAACCAACAACGAGGCATATCTTGTAAATAACAAGCTCTGCCTTTTAGATTCAGTTTAACTAATAAATGTTACAGTGCTTTTTATGCAATATCATCTTCATAAACTTTATTTTCTTTTTATTGAGTCATGTTTTGCAGTGCAGTGTCCTGATATATGTTGTTAAAATGGCAATTTAATCTTTTTAATTTGTTTCTCATAAGGTTCATCAAAGAGCTCCTGAACAAAAAGGTAAGAAAGTGCAAACCTGTGGAATTAAGATGGTTTAAGGAGAAACTGATCTGAGTTTTGTTGTTTATTTCTGTCTTTGCTGGGACAGTACCCTTTAGTGAAGCCAGTGGTGACTCCGCGGTTCGCTCTGTCCTGCAGTGAGGACCTGCTGTCTAAGCTGGGAGAGATAGCCAAGAATAACAACCTGCACATCCAGGTGAGCTCAAAACAAGAGGATTAATCCCACAGAGGCTGTTTACTGGTGGAGATCAGCAGATATTTAACATTCTCTGTCCAAGAACAACATTTGTTTTCTTATGTTCCTCGACAGAGCCACATCAGCGAGAACACTGAGGAAGTGACGCTTGTAAAGGAGCTGTTTCCTGACTCGGAGTCTTACACAGACGTCTACCACAAGTGCAATCTTCTCACTGGCAAGGTGAGGACACAGTGTCCTAAATGGGTTTCGGGGGGTCAAAGAAAAGTGAAAGCTGACATAAAGGCAGGCAGCTATCGATGACGCTCACAATGTCAATGATTCACAGACAGTGATGGCCCACGGCTGCTACCTCAGTGATAACGAGCTGGATCTGTTCAGAGAAACAGGAGCCTCTTTGTCCCACTGTCCCAATTCCAACTTCTCGTAAGTCTCAACTCAGAACCGCCACGCTCATCCAAACGATCTGAAGCATGGCAGAAGGACGTGCAGAATTAAGAGTTTAAAACACATCAATATGATAGTCATTATAAACACCTGACTGTAAAAGATACAACACACAGCACAAGCTTTAAAGTGCCTGTGATGTCAAATTTTTTGTAACACATGTGAATGCATTTTTGAAAAGATGTCATTGACAAAATATTGCAAAAGAAATTTCATGTCGCTGAGATGAACATTTGTTGAGATATTTGCCTGTAAAGTAACAGGAAGTGATGTCAAAGGGGAATGTCTGCATGTGAACAGAGTATTGCTACAACAGCCAACAACACAGACTGCAGCGAAGAATCTGATGTTTCTTAAGATTAGTTTGAGTTACTATCAGAGAGAGATGAAGAAGAGTCAGAGTTCAAATAGTATTGTTTCAATAAACAAAGACCAGCGAGCTTTGTTTGTTAACAAGTTCTGCTTTGATGTCACTTCCTGTTTCACTTTGGTTGAGTCAAGTTCAAAAGAAAATCTGCCAGTTATGGGACAAACTGGGTTAAATTGTGTTTATTATTCCAACTTTCTTAAATATAAAGATGTTTTCTTTGACTTTTTGTATTTGAAGAATATGTATATCACAGGCACTTTAATGGCATATCAGTATGTATTTGAGTGCAATCTGAAAGTTAATTATACTGTATTTTTCTTGAACCCAGGTTGTGTAGTGGAGTGTTAAATGTCCGCAATGTCCTGGATCATAAAGTGAAGTGTGGGCTGGGTACAGGTGGGGTTTTTTTCTTAGTAGAAGCTTTCCATCCAACTTTTAAACCTTTGGAATTTATCTTTTTGTTATTATTGTCTCTAGATGATTAATATAAAAAGAAATGAAACAGCACAATTAGTGTCCAAAAAAATAAACATCAGTGCTTGTAACTATGTATGTTTCCTGTTTGTGGTGGTGCGTCAGATGTGGCGGGGGGCTACTCATCCTCTGTGCTCGATGCTGTGAGAAAAACTCTGGATGCCTCCAAAGTCCTGACGATCCAGGACCCTGAACACAACACACTCTCTTTCGAGGAGGTGTTCAGGCTGGCCACCCTGGGGGGCAGCCAAGGTGAGACCCCCAAATAATAATAATAATAATTTTAGTTTTCC